AATGAAAACATGGTGAAGCTCGAGCTCATAATACACGACTTGGCGAGAAAGCTCGAGAGAGTCACCCACCACACGCGGAGGAGCCGCACATCGAGATCAACCATGGTGGGAACGGGCAGTTCAGCATCTAGTCGCAATGACGACGACGAACGGTCGCGGGGAACGCACACGACACGCACAACCCGACACCACGGCAATTGCAGGATGCACGGCGAAAGGCGACACCGGGAAGAAAGTGCACATGCACGCCCGAAGATAACGATGCCGACGTTCGAAGGGACAGATCCGGATGCATGGTTAAGTCGTGCCATGCAGTTTTTCGAGATTAATGATTTCACAAGTCTGAAAGAGTCCAAATTGCTGCCTACTACTTAGATGGTGAAGCCAACACATGGTGGCAATGGGTGTCACATATTTATAAGAACAAAGGCGAGCAAATCAGATGGAGAGATTTCGAAAAGAAACTCATCGCCAGGTTTGGATCTAGTGATTATTTCAATTACGATGAGGCTCTGACAAGGATTCACCAAACTGGTAGTCTACGCGACTATCAAAAGGATTTTGAGAGGATTGCAAGCCGAGTACGTGATTGGCCCGAGAGTGCACTTGTTGGTGCATTTTTTGGAGGTTTAAAAGCAGAATTAGCAGCTGAGGTGCGATTGGACAGGCCAAGATTGACAAGAGCCGCAATGGAAGCAGCACGACTGCACGAGGATCATCTCGCGGCAGTGTGCAAGGCAAGGTCGAGCGAGGGGCGCATGGACGTTCGGCGCGCGAGCGTTGCGGATGACGGTCTGCCCTCACGGGCCGAGACCAAACCAATAGTCGACGAGGTCACATGCACCACGAGCAGCGTACGGCAACTTACGGACGAGGAGATGCAACGGCGAAGAGAAAAGGGCCTATGCTATACATGCAACGAGAAATTAACGCCAGGCCACAAGTGCAAAGGTAAGGAAGTTTTTCTGTTGGAATTTGAGGAGGATTGTGAGGAAGAAAAGCCACAGGATAAGTCTTTGTTACATGTGGTTAAATGAAAAAAAGCGTGGTCCTAAGATGATCCGGTTCACGGCTGAGATAAAAGATATGCTGCTAGAGATACTGGTGGATAGTGGGTCGAGTTTGAATTTTATCGACGAAGGAATAACCAGGAGACTGAAGTTGGAACCCACCAAGGTCAATAGGTTTAGGGTCAAGGTGGCAAATGGACATGAACTACAAGGTAATCAATTGTTCAAGAAGGTTCCAATGATGGCCCAGGATCAAGAATTGGAGATTGATCTCTACGCCTTTCCGCTTAAGGAAACCGACATCGTGTTGGGAGTACAGTGGCTCGAGACACTTGAGCCCATTATGGCGGACTATAAGCGAGGGAAGA